TCTAAATTAAAGTGATCAGACTAAATGCTCTCCAAGGTCCTGGAGCTTTACTATACTTCAGTTCTATCTGGACTAATTATTTCACAAAAAATAATAAATGTGCTGCTATTAATGAATGCAGGACACACTTTAAAAGGGAAAATATACACTCTGTCTTCTCCTCCCATTTGGGAGAGAAACCAGCACGAGCTGAGGGAAACAGAAACACTATTTCGACCTCCCAGGTTCCAAACTCTGGTTCTAAAAATTCAAAATAAAGCTTAATCATTAGGGAAACAAGAACAACGTCCTGGGGGAATACAAGTGTTGATAGTTGAGGAAATGCAAGCTTCGTAGTAGTATGTTCCCACTACCAATTTAAAATCCATCACTTGAGAGTTGTGGGATAGCGAAATAACCAGTAGAACTGGACACGCTATTCCCTCCTTGTAGCCTTGGACACATCCTGTGCTTTGAGGACGAGTTTTAGCGGTGATCTCTAATTAGGCAATGCCTTTGTGTCTGTCTAGGGGTTCCAGCCAAAGGCTCTCAGCTGCCTGTGTGCCTACAGTGCCCTTATTGCACCTCTGCTGCTGGACAAAGCTTTGAGGGCCTTGGGGTCCCTGCTCCAGCAGCTGACCTTTGCCTGAGGGTGACACACCCTGGCTCTGTGAACCACCGTAAAGGTGGGTTTCTGGTGGATAATTTCAGTAACAAACTGCTACTTGGATCCCACCGGCTGCTTCAAACACACTGTCCACATTCTTGTGTGCTCCTGATCCCGTGGATACGAAGCGAACATGAAATTAACCATTGATAAGAGATAGTGTAGGGACATATGAGAACCTTGTCCGCTGTTCTACTGAAACTTCCATTCTGGTCAAACACTTGATGATACGGCCACTGTCTCCAAAGGAAATCACTGTAGAACTTTCAGAGGCTTATACAGAAGTGAAGGGTGGCATCTCCAGTAGTTCATCAACATCATCTTTCCGAAGCCCACCTGTGAATTAATTCAACCGACTGCTGGCAAATGGCGTCAGTCTCATGTGAGGCCACGAAAAGTTAAAGAATTAAGAACTACTGTGGAGGGGCATAAAACAAACAACTATGTACCCAGCGTTTTTTAAATTAAAGAAATTTCATTTCACCCTGCAAAAATTGAGGTCAACCATGGCTCTATGGGCACCCTTATACAAAGGCTGTTGGCCACTCTATTGAGTGCTACCTTTTCAGCTATGCCATAAAGACGAACTAGGAGGGACCACTAGGAGGAAACTATAGCTTGAGAGTCCAAGATCTCTGAAACCACAAGGGTGATTGGCATTCAAGGATCCCTGAAAGGTGAAGACAGACCTCTACCGGTGTTGATCTCAGTGTTGTGGTTAATTCTCACTGTTCCAGTGCATGAGGGAGTCACTGCCCAGCTATAACAATAGCCACTCTAGGGCCAAGTGCTGGAGGAGCCTTGGAAGCATGGAAGAAGCAGAACAAACCACAAGCTGCAAGAGCTCAGTGTAGCCAGCAGAGGCCCACGGCGTACACACAAGGAAGGAACACTTGCAATGTGAAGACTGTCCTAAAGACATGAGACAGCTGTCCAACACAGACTCAACCACAGCACAAACAGCTAGGGGCAGAAGGGACGACAATACACATTCAGAGGACCTCCCCACACACAACTGTAGCCTCCAGCTTTCAAAGGACCACAAAGGAGCTGCCACACCCATCTCAAATTGCTCAAGCCGTGTCATCTTTTTAATCCTCATTCATTACACTTTTAGCATTATTTTACTTGCTGTATCCATAGAATGTATGTGATTTCACTTCTCATTCCCTCGTATATATTTATTTAGCTCTCTGTAAACAGTATTTTCATTACTAGAAATACGTTTTTCATTTAGTGCCTTTTTCTCCTTTTTGTTCCTGTTTCTTCCCTGCTCTTTCTATTTTTAAGCTGTATTTTGACTATATTGGTTTTCTTTTTTTTAAACACTCTTATGGTTTTATTTTGTTTTGTTGTTGTTCTCTTTTTGTCCTGGGTAGTGTATCTATTGCTTTGATAAATAACATAACCAAAAGCAATTTGGGGTGAAAGGGTTTATTTCACCTTACACTTCAGGAAGTCAGGGCAGGAACTGAGGTAGAGGCCGTGGAGGAATGTTCTATGTGGCCTGCTTGCCCTATTTCTTATGTATCCAGGACCATGTGCCCAGGCACAACACCATCCACAGTAAGGTGGGCTGGGTACTCCCATATTAAACATCAACCAGGAAAATGCCCCGCAGGCTTGCCCACAAGCCCCTCGGATGGGGGAATGTTTTCATATGAATCTCCCTCTTCTCAGATGAACTCTAGCTTGTGTAAAGTTGGCAAAATCCTAACCAATACACCCTTTTTCCAATTATCAAGTTTTGAAATCTTCCTTTATTGGGAAATTTCTAAAAAAATTAAATTTGCAGATGTTGTTGCTAACACAGTGGTTTGCTTTGCCTTTGCTGAGCTGTACTTCAGGCAGAGCCATCAAAGAGCAGCCTACTTGATAAGACAATCCCCTCCAGTAAACTGGAAAAGCAAAAAAAGAAGGATACATTTCAAGAATCAGATAAAACCAAAAAAGAAGTCAACAACCTAAACCATCCTATAATGAATGAGGAGATGGAAATGGAAATGAAAAAGACTTCCAGCTTTAAAAAAAAATCAAGATGAAGCAGATTCAAAGAAGAATTCTACTAGATGTTGAAAGATCTATAGCCAATCCTTAATAAATTATTCAAAGAAAACAGAAACAGAAGGGGACCTCCCAAACTCCTTCTACAAAGACAGTGTCCAGTCTACACCAAAGCCAAGTAAAGACAAAACAAAAAATATTTTCAGACCAATACCTCTGAAGAACATAGACTCAAAAATGATCAATAAAATACTAGCAAACATAATGAAGACATACATCAAAAAGATTACACAATATGACCAAATTGGCTTCATCTCTGAAATGCTAGAATTGTTTAATAGACTTGAGGTAATAAATCTAGCAAATGGCTTTAAAGACAAAAAAAATCACACAATCATCTCAATGGATGTAAAGAATACCTTTGGCAAAATCCAACACATTTATGAAAAAAATATCCTAGAGAAAGTAGGAGTAGAGTCAACATACTCAACACAATAAAAACTATACATGAGGAACCCATAGTCAAGATTATCTTAAACAGTCTCTCAGTTGACTTCCTGCTCCCTGCAAGCCAAATGAAGCCAGCATCACGTCTGCCTGCATGCCACCATCATGATCCCCGCCATGATGATAATGGACTGAACCTCTGAAACTATAAGAGAGCCACCCCAATGAAATGTTTTCCTTTGCAAGAGTTGCTGTGGCCATGGTGTCTCTTCACAGCAATAGAAACCTCACTAAGACACCCTCTGTAATGTTGCTTCAGAACTTGTTCCTTTATGTATCTGGCTGTGACTTAGAACCCAAGCACCAACTTTTTCAACCACAATCCTTCATTCCACTCTTCCCAGGCTCTGCTTACTGCTCTTCTGCCCTCAAGGAAAGGAAATCAAGGGGAGGAGTGGAATGAGAATTTTGAGTGGGATTGCCTTGATTCTGTGAATAGCCCTGGGTGGTATCTGAGCCTAGGGAATCTCAAAGCCTGACCCCACAGTGACACACTTTCTCCAACAAAGTCACACCTCCTAAGAGTGTCACTCCCTATGAGATTATGGGGGCCAGTTACATTCAAACTCCCACACAAGGTGACTATATTAAAGGTAATGGACATTGTAAAGATTGAAGTAAAGAAGACTGAGTTTTCACCCCAAAGAGACAACCGACGGGACAAGGGAAATCAGTTCAGATGGTGAGCTACCTGCCTTAGAGCAATGGCAACCTGAGTTCAGATCCCCCAAAACCCCTGCTAAAAGCTGTGTATGGTGCAAAGGCCTGTAGTTCCAGCGGCAGTAAGAGAGGAGGTGGAAAGCGTAGATCCCATTGGCCAGCTGGCTGACCCTACCTGATAAAAGTTCCAGACCAAAGATCCTGTCTGCAGTGGTTTGAGAAAGACGGTCCCGTGGGCTCACAGGTTTGAATGCTTGGTCATTAGGGACTGGCACTACTTGATAGGAATTAGGAGGTGTGGCCTTGTTGGAGTAGGTGTGGCCTTATTGGAGTAGGTGTGGCCTTGTTGGAGGAAGTGTGTCACTGTGGGTGGGCTTTGGTGTTTCAAATGCTCAAGCCAGGCCCAGGATCTCTCCCTCTGCCTGCTGCCCAGGGATGCAGATGTAGAATTATGCTACCCTGCAGCACCGTGTCTGCTTGTGTGCTACCCACCCCGATGACACCCCGATGGGCTAAACTCTGAAGCTGTAAGTAAGTCCTAACTAAGTGCTTCCTTTCTTTTTTTGGTTTTACGAGACAGGGTTTCTCTGTATTGTTTTGGAGGCTGTCGGTCCAGCCTGGCCTCGAACTCACAGAGATCCGCCTGCCTCTGCCTCCAAGTGCTGGGATTAAAGGCGTGAGCCACCAACGCCCGCCCTAAATGCTTCCTTTCATAAGAGCTGCCGTGGTCATGGTGCCTCTTCACAGCAGCAGAACATTGACCAATACGCTGCCTCAAACAAAACATAGGAGATATTTAAGGGACAACACCTAAAGTTGCCCTCTGTCGCACACAAACATATACAAACACATCCATTTTTTGCATATGCAGCGACGAATGTTTGAGTAGATAGGTACATTTAAGCTGGCTGAAACACTGAACATTAAAACACAACACAACACACAATATTTATGTTTTCGTGCCTTAGTTTAAAAGCAGAGTAAGAAAAATAGGATTTCCTTCTAAATACACCAGACATCAAGAGCACTCATGCTCTAGAATAACAGCACAGAATTCAACCATAACGGAGTAGCGGGGAGCGGCTGGAGCCCTCAGGTGTGGTTCTACCGGTGGGACCACTCATCTGCGCATGTCAGGCATGATCGCCAGCTGGTTGTACAGACGCTGAGGACGGCATCTTACCAACCACCCATCGCGATCCACGAGTTCTCTGGACTCCATGCTGATCTTCCTCTTCCGGTTGGGCTGTCTCATGGCCACTTCAGCTCTCCTCAGCAGAGTTCCCTGTAAAACAGTGGCACGTTGAACGCTGGAGGGAGTTCTCCTCCTTCACAATTACAACAGCAAGGAAACACATGCTGCTGCGGTTTGCCCTGCAAGGGTTCTCGGGCAGAGAACCTCTAAAAGCGCAGCTTAGCTCGAGCCACAGGCCTTGAAGAGGGTTCTAGAGAGCGAGCAGCTGCCATGAGAAGGCAGACCAGGCTCCCTAAATCACCCCAACGCTGTGTTGCCGACTGTCCTGTGAGTTTCACAAGAGCCAAGCTGATGCCAGCCCATGCCCTTGAACATAATAACTATGAGTTAAATAACTCATAATAAGCCTTTAAAAAAAGCCTAAAATAAAATAACCAGCTTCAGGTATTTTACTACAGGATAAAGGATCCAACTAATGTAAACAGTCAGCAATCTTATTTATTATAATTAGCTACTGACAAAACTATTACTATTGGTTTTAGGGTTCCTAATACCAGAATGACATAATGGGAAGAGTGACAGATTTCATTTCCTGCCAGAATTTACGTAAGGAAATGGATACTGCTGTGTTTGGCCTTCTCTGTGATATATGCTTCTGTTAGTTTGTTTGCTTAGATGACTCTTCAGAGCTAGCCTGACTGTGCACAAGGGTCTGACTGTGCGCAAAAGAGCCATGGCAGAGGGATACCAGCCAGGGCACGGCGCTTCAAACAGGAATCGAGATGAATAGATAACAATTCAACCTTTGGGACCGTTCTTGTAGCATAATGGCAGAAAGCAGTCAAGATTCTTTGAAATATGATTTGAATTGAATTTTTTTTTAACCTAGCAGGGCAATTGAATAAGAAGCAAGGACCAGCTTGCTTGTACCACAGAGGACACCATCCTAAAACCCAGTCGCTGATATTTAACAGCTAACATGCAGTATCTAGGAAATGGCCGGTCCTAAGACAGAGCTAGCTGTCTTTGACAAACGTGACAGCCAAGCTCATCCCTTCCCCTCAAGAGCCCTCGTTCCTCCTCTCCCCATACCTGCCTTACAGTGCTCACACTGCCAGACAGCAGAGGCTAGAATCCTGCTGTGCTCAGCACAGGCTGTCCCTTCTTGCCCCTACCCAGAAGAAAATGCACCCTTCGGAACAATCACATGCTTGGGGCTAATGGCAGCTCTGGCTCTGCCTGAACCACAGACTGGGGGGACTCATTACCATTTCATCCCTTAGGTCTCTATTTGCCTATCCTTTTTACCTAGTGAGCCTTCCTCTACAGATGACTTCTTTCTGCTGTTAACTCTACGTTACCCTCAGTGGAATGATTCCACAGTTTCCTCCTATGCGATGTGCAGCTCCTGGCTCCCGCCATCTGCTGGCCCTCAGCCTCTGGATCCCCTCCTTCCTGAATATTGCCCCTTTTCCATCTCTCACTGCTCACTCGTCTTTTACAAGCCAACTAAGAAGATTTCAGGCCCTTCAGGAGAGCCTTTCTGACTACTTCCTGTCTCCAATGGATCTCGGACGCATTCCCCAGGCTTCACGGTTATGGTTGCATGACTTTGACACCGCACTTACAACTTTGAGCTACATTTAATTTCCTCATATATCCTTCCTTGTGTGGCTACAAGCATCCTGATAACAAGGACTGTGAACTACCCACCCTTAGTTTTCCATTACCCAATTATAGCTGGCTCATAGCAGGTTCTCACTGTGTGTTTGTTAGGTTTAACGGAGTACAAGTCTCCCTGATTTATTCCGGAACCTCAGAGCCCTTAACCCAATGGATGTCAGTCCCTGTGTCAAACATTACTCCTAGAATGCTGTATGTTGAGTTTCAAACTCAACTCCTATCTCATTTTCCTACACGCACACAAAGACACACACACACACACACACACACACACACACATACCCCGAAACAAAATGCAAACAGAGCAAACATCCTTTTGCTTCTAGTCAGATAGTATGTCGTTAAGACAGGCACTTAAGTAGTAAATTCAGTATCATTGCTTTCATTTGGTAAGATGTAAATGCAATTCATCATGCTTAGCTCCAGGTAAGATTGTGAACATCTACGCAAATGAACAGCTTAGATGGCATCCCTTTGGCAGATTATTATAGCACCAGACATAAGCCTTGGCAAGGCTGGCTTGTCTTGTATTATGAATAACACCCCACAGCTTGTCAAACAGAAATCACCTGCTACTGACATCCCGGCTCATAAACAAGGTGATCTGCCTTGCTAATCCCTGGTAATTATCTCAGCAACCCTGGTTTGTGTAAAACTCAGAAATCCGAGTTTTTACTACTATATGTCAGGGACAGAATAAAAGCTTCTCTATCAAAGAGTTCCAAAATAAAATTTGATAACAACTGAGTTGCTATTAAATTTAAAAGTAATAACGCATAAATATAGAAGGCACCCAGCAACAACCCATATATTTTGTTCCAGACGGTAAGAGAATCAATATAAAGTAGTGTCAGATGTAGACCATGAAGGGCAGGTAATGGTGGCTTGGCATATACTCAGGCACACTTTCAGACTTTCTGAGGTCTAGACACCCACTTAGAAAGCCAATCCTCAACTTGTTCCCGTCAACAAAATGGAATACTTCTTTGACAGAAACCTAACTTTATATTCTTGGCACGTCATCTAGCCAGTATGGATTATTCTGATTGTTCTTCAAAAATGGCCTCCTCCCAAGGGATCCAAAGTAGCAAACCAGCCTCTTGCCTTCTTGCTCGGTTTAAGGGAATAAAAAGTTGTTAAAAGTCAAGGAAGAACCATGTGCAAACATAAAGCACATTATCAAAAAGAGAGAAGTGACAGTGACAACCAGACTGAGCCACACAGCACACTCGGATTGTAAATAAACCCAGGCACTACCTATCACGGACAAGGTGATTCCGAGGGCTTTTCATTGGGAGACATTCTGAACAGAGTTTCGCATTTTAAAAAGTGAGACAGGCAGATATGCAAAAGGCCATCGGCATACTGTAGGAAAGCCGGAAATGCTTTGTTAATGTTCGTGTTGGTCACCAGATGCCTTTGCCTCACGTTGAGAGCCCTTGGTTACACACTGACAGAAGGCTCGTCTTCCTGACCCTTTCACTTAGGAGGACAAATCAAGGTTTCAGTGACAGGACAACTTAGCATTTCCAATCCTTCAGATTAAACCTGCATCCATGCGCGGGAGCTGTCAGGGTCAACTGCTCTCACCCGTCCTTCATGGAGCAGGAAGATGCTTCCTCAAACACCCCAGAGAGGGTGGTACATATGGTCTACACCTGGGATAGCACAGACAAGGTCTGTCCCCTGCCCCCACCGTCACGGTGTTAGCAGTAACACACCACACTACTCTGTCCCCCCAATTCCCCAAGTTTAGGCAACAACCTACTCTGACTCTATGGTAAGCAATGCAGTCCACATCATTTAAAAACACGAAGAGCTCCGGGCTGGGTGTTCATACCCAGCGACATTAACAGAGAAGGAAGATTTCATTTGTGTCTAAGACACTGTATAGAATTTAAAGCGAATTTAAAATCTGAGTATTGGATGAAAACAGACACTGACTACCCCGATTTCTTACTAGCTCCAGATGCTATTCCAGGCTAACATTTGTTCATCCACTTGGTAGGGCTAACAACGCAAAGTGGTTGGCATTCAGATTAATTAATAGGTGATTATAGTTAATGATAACTACTTACATATATATTATTAATACTTCATGACATTAACAACAGCAGCAAATATTACCCAGGCACTCACTCACTATGCATCTCTATAATAGGTGCTTCCAGCTAACATGTATGACACCCCAATGGTGTATGTGTTACCGACACCCCACCTTAGAGATGGGGAAACACTAAGAACTTAGGTGACTTGTCTCAGTGCCCAGGCAGCACAGTTCTAGAGCCCCTCCTTCAAACCTTGCAGCAGCTGCTATAATTGTCCTCTACGTTTGGTAACCCAAAGCTGAGACTCTCCAATCCCTGCGCTGAGCTTCTCCACAGAGTGTCGCCAGTCACGGTGCTGTTTCGCCTCTGTCAAGGCTGCTGACTGACGTTTCATTAGTTTATTTTACCTGCTTCTGGAATCTCAAAAGGTAGTTGGTCAACCACACATAAACTGTGTACTCTTACACCGAATGACAGTAACACAGGAGCCCCAAGATCCAGAGCCCAAAAGATATCACACTGGCTTACCTGACGAGCTCTAATAAGCACATTTCATACATAACCTTCACATGTGAACCCTTCCTGTCACTGAGCGGCTAAAACAAAACCACATAATCAGAAATACAGTCTATCCTTCCCTCCTCTTCCCTCCCTCCCTTCCTCCTTTTCTCTATCCCTCATTCCCTCCCTCCCTCCCTCTCTCTCTCTCTATCCCTCAATCTCTCTGTTTCTTTTTTTTTTTAAGCAAATCTTTTGGGGAATTGTGTATTTATTTATTTATTATGTATACAGTATTCTGTCTGCATATATCCCTGCAGGCCAGTAGAGGGCACCAGATCTCATTACAGATGGTTGTGAGCCACCATGTGGTTGCTGGGAATTGAACTCAAGACCTCTGGAAGATCAGCCAGTGCTCTTAACCTCTGAGCCATCTCTCCAGCCCCCTCTCTCTGTTTCTATGCCCCCCCCCTCTCTCTCACACACACACACACCAGTAGGAGTGAAGGTCTCAGGTTGAGAACAGGAGCACTAATCCCGCTTCCAGCCTCACTTTAAGGCCTAACCTTCTTTCGTTTTGTTCCAGAACGATTTTAAGCATTTTATGTTCCAGCCATGATTGTGTCGTGACTAGCACATCCATCCTCGTGAGACAGTGCCTCTTAGAGGTTCATTCCCTGTTGGAAGCTTCTGTCCTGGCTCTGTGCGCCCTTGTTTCCAGGCACGCCCTCACTCTAAACGTGAGAACAGGGTCATGAAAATACCCTCCTTGGGGGACTGAAGAGATGACTCAGGGTTCAGAGCACTTACTGCTCTCCCGGAGGTTCTGAGTTCAGATCCAGCACTCAGGTTAGGCATACT